ACTTCATCACTGTTGGCTATGGACCACTTCATCACTGTTGGCTATGGTGGGCTATCACTGTTAACTATGCAACACTTTTGCACCAGTGACACCGCTGAGTTTGCACTTTTTTAGTAAACTAGCATGACATGTTGGACGTGTCTAAACCTAATATTTTTATTGGGTTAGTCCAAGTGTCAGATATTTACAGTCAGGATCTCAAATGCATGTAGACACAGTTCAAAATCAATAATTGTATTGTTATAAGTTTTATTGAACTGTTTAGAGACAGTCGTACTGAAAGTCGGTACTCGTGTGTTTATATAAATATTCATATTTAAAAAGTGATATAAAGAAGGAGGAAGGTATATTCAGGAAGGAACACGCTTTTAGAACCGTGGGTCCTTTTCTCAGACGGATTTGCTTCCTCTACGTTAAGCAGTACTGGTTTAGATACTATGCCCTTTGTTTGTTAATGTTCCCAGACTTCTGGAATGAGAAATGAGAAACTTGTGTAACGATGTTCCAGATTATAGCAGCCATTGCCCGTCGTTTCTAAACATCAGGAGTGAGTCCACAATAAGAAGCACATTCATCTCGGGTTCTTGGATATGTTCTAAAAAGTGTTGAATCACCAGCAAAAACTTTGTCCTACTTTGTGGATTGTCTAGTAGCTTGTGGAGACATGTAGAAGTGTTTCAGACAGACGGTGTACTACAGGTGTGACCTTCCTCTGACCCGTCAGGTATCAGATTGCTGCCAGTCTCAACATGCAGCGCTACGCCTTAGTGTTCGGGGTGAACACCTTCATGGCCCTGCTGCTGCAGACTCTGCTCACTGTGGCTGTGGTGGACTCGGCCGGCCTTGGCCTCGATGTCTTTACTCAGGTGAGGGGGTACAATAGGCTCCGCCCACCTTTAGTTGCCTATGACAACATACATGGGGACATTTTCCACCTCCTGCAGAGAGGATCTGATAGATGTCTTGTTTCCTTCCCTCAGTTCCTCATCTATGGCGGCTACTTTGCTGTCATTTCTCTGGTCTTTCTGCTCGCTGCACTTTACAAATTGGCCTCCAGGAGGTGCTCTAAGCAGGAAGAGGAGGTGCTGGCCAACAGCCGAGCAGGAACGGAGTCTGACTCGTCTCCAATCAAGTGATGGTTACTGATGGCGTCTCACATACTGAATAAAGCAGCATTAGTGAGTGAGCTGCAGTCATCACGTCATTGTGTTGTTAATAATGAATGAAGCTGTAGTACTCTGTTGTGGCCACTATGTGGTAGGATGACATGATGTCATCATACTGCTGTCTAACCCATTCATGATCCATTTAATGTTCCCCACTGAGACCCAACTGGACAGAAAAGATGCAGTAGGACCAAACCATGAGTGTTACAGAGTGGGTCTTTAGTCATTGAAGTCATTGAAACAAATATATACTTCCTCTCTTTGCTGATCACAGATCAGATGAAAAGGCTCCATCTGAGATTTATGTCGCACAATATTTCAAATGTTCATAATTGTAATTCTGTATGTTTCCCAGCTTGTTGAACTTGTGCCTTTAGACACTAGGAATGGTACTGTAATAGTACTTCTAATGTGTTACATTTGAAACCAGTGAAAAAGACATGTTTGTATTTAAATATGTATTATTTCCTCCTGCAATGGCATAGCTGCTGTATTGTACTCTCATTGATCATTATTGGCACTGGCGAGGAGTTTGTGTATCAGGTTCATCAATATGTATCTTTAATGAATGACAATGAAATGTGTTTGATGTTATGCTGCTTCTATCTGTACAAGATGTTCATTACTACAAATTAGATGTGACCCAGAGCCACAGTGTGAGTCGTTGGTGTGTCTGTGGACTACAGAGACAGAGATACATCAGGATTAGTGTTGCTTTGGCAAAAAGACTTAAAAGTGTTGTCTGACATCAACCAAATTCATTTAGAAAACATGGCCAAATATAAAGTACAAATACCTGAAGTGTTCCACACACACCAGTAACTCTTCATCTCATCTTGGAACACTACAAATAGTGCCTTTTCCTTTCCACTGTCAAAATGTTCTCCACTGATTCTTCTGAACTTATATTTTGGGCACTGTGCCAGCCTCTGGTATTTCTTAATGTCACTGATGAAGCTCATGTGTCACTTAAAAACAACTGTTACAACAGTATTGGATCAGTTGTAACTGTACATCTGGTATGTAATACTTCTTTTGAATGTTTGTCAACATGCATAGAAATGATGTTTTATGATCAGCGAACAAATAAAAAATAGCTTGAACAATTTAACAAGTAAGGTGATCTGTATTTCTAATTTCTCTTTGTACAACAAATGGATTGAACTATTGTGTCCTCTTTTATTGATGTTTAGTTCTTTTGACATCGCTGGCGGCTGGATGTGAAGCAGAGGACGGACTCTTTTGTCTGTGTTCATTCCGTTCCTTTCTTTGCACTATTTGACATTTAGCTCATACATGAAGTCTTGAGTGTAGTTTACTAGTGAAGGTTCTATAAACAATCTAAGTTGTCTCTATGCAATTTCTATCACAAAGAAATCAAAATGTTTTTGCAGAATCATGTTTTTGTGTTCTGTATTTTCACTGTTTTTGTAGTCGCTCTATACATCTTCTAAATAAACAGAAATAACATCTTCTGTCCAGTGGTGTTTTTCTTCAGTAAAACAGGAGCAGGAGTTCTCGGACACACTCGCGATGGTTTGAGGCTGGACTTTGGGATGCGGTGCTTCGTTAGCATGATAGCATTCTTACATGTGCTAATCAGTGCTACACATAAAGTGGCTCTGGGTCACATCTAATTTGTAGTAATGAACATCTTGTACAGATAGAAGCAGCATAACATCAAACACATTTCATTGTCATTCATTAAAGATACATATTGATGAACCTGATACACAAACTCCTCACCAGTGCCAATAATGATCAATGAGAGTACAATACAGCAGCTATGCCATTGCAGGAGGAAATAATACATATTTAAATACAAACATGACTTTTTCGCTGGTTTCAAATGTAACACATTAGAAGTACTATTACGCCTCAATATTTTATGGAAACATGTCAAGTAGTTGCCTTTAAGTTATGTATTTTCTTTCTTGTAAATGTAATTTAAACGTAATTATTCTGTCTGTGAATCTTGATTTTTGTATCTATGTATAACGCTAATATGTTAAAATTAGTACAAATTTAGAATCGTGAATCTAATTGTTGAGATAATTCACTCAAATGCAGAACTGTCAACCTCATGGAGAATAATCCCTCAAGATTGATCATCTGGAATCATTGACTTCCTGAACCAGATGTAGTTCATATTGACTGGATAAGTGGACATCATTAGGATTCACGCTGTCAGCTCCACAGATGTTATTGGTAATCCTTTGAACAGGAATATTTCAGTAAAAAACAAACTGGTTATGGTCATATATTTGACAAAAAATGACATTGATAACAAATGATTGCCTCCTTTGAAGTTTGTTGTATTTCACATATTTGAATGTGGTTATTTTAAAAAGCTTTACTAAATTACAGTAAAATAGTTCATTTAATTACTTCTAAAATGCCAATGGCAGCCTGTAGCTCTCATGAACTCTCTAGATTATTGCTATGATTTGTTTATGACTGCAGCACTAAGGCTTATGCAAATGCACTCACTAACAGGAGAAGGAAGCGCGGGGATAAAGTGCAGCGGACCCTTGAGACAACCAGTGGGACCAGATGCTTGGACATGGATTTGTCTGGACTGATTCAAGACTTGTCTTTAAACTTGGCTCAGCTGACTTGAGACTTGACCTGGACTTGGACAACAACCTGGCAAAGACTGCAAGGAGCTGATGAGATGAGTGGTGAAGGGTGTTTGAGCAGAGTGAAACTGGAAGACCAGCTGACAAGGAGACAACACAAGGACAAAGATGGACAGCAACACTATTGAGGACACCACGAGAAACACTTAGGGTACATCCAAAGTCTGTTAGAGCGAGGATCGAGCAGGGATCTCCGAGGAGCCATGGGCGAGGACGCACGAGAACAACCTTCCAGGAAGTGTTTTAACGGCTGACACGCCCCCTTGTTGTTCATCAGTTATGTGATTGGACGCTGCAGCTGATCAGACTGATAATATTTTTTTCAACATATAAAAAGTGAAGACGGATCGCAGATTAAAGTCGAACTTCATATTTGATTAGTTTTCTGATTCACCTTCTGGTTTAAATATATGTTCATTGTAGACTGGACCACAAACAACTTTCTTCATCCATCCTTCCATTTTTCTCCGCTTATCCGGGGTCGGGTCGCGGTGGCAGCAGGCCAAGCAGGCTGACCCAGACTTCCCTCTCCCCCGCAACATTTTCCAGCTCATTCTGGGGGATCCCGAGGCATTCCCAGGCGAGCTGGGAGACATAATCCCTCCAGCGTGTTCTGGGTCTTCCCCGGGTCTCTTCCCAGTTGGACGTGCCTGGAAAACCTCCAGTGGGAGGCATCCAGGAGGCATCCTAATTAGATACCTGAACCACCTCAGCTGACTCCTTTCGACGCAAAGGAGTAGTGACTCCAAGCTCCCTCCTGTAGACCGAGCTCCTTACCCTATCTCTAAGGCTGAGCCCGGCCACCCTGCGGAGGAAACTCATTTTGGCCGCTTGTAGCCGCGACCTTGTCTTTTTGGTCATGACCCAGAGTTCATGACCATAGGTGAGGGTAGGAACGTAGACCGACCAGTAAATTGAGAGCTTTGCCTTCCGGCTCAGCTCCCTCTTCACCAAGACAGTCCGCTGCAGCGCCTGCTTTACTGCTGCAGCCACACCGATCAGCCTGTCGATCTCCCGCTCCATTTTACCCTCACTCGTGAACAAGACCCCGAGATACTTGAACTACTTCGCTTCCGGTAGGCACTCCATCCCCACCTGGAGGGAGCAATCCACCGGTTTCCGGCAGAGCACCATGGCCTCAGATTTGGAGGTGCTAACTCTCATCCCCGCCACGATCCGAGGAGGCCAACAGGACCATATCATCTGCAAACAGCAGAGAGGCAATGCCGAGACCCCCGAACCTGGCGTTCTCCACCCCCCGGCTGCGCCCAGATATCCTGTCCATGAAAGTCACGAACAGGACCGGTGACAAAGGGCAGCCCTGGGGAGGCCAACACCCACCGGGAACGTGTCTGACTTATTGCCGAGAATGCGGACACAGCTCCTACGGCAGTCGTACAGAGACCGGATCGCCCGTTGTAACGGGTCCGGGACCCCATACTCCCGCAGCACCCCCCACAAGAACCCCAGAGGGACCCGGTCGAAAGCCTTCTCCAAGTCCACAAAGCACATGTAGACTGGTTGGGCAAACTCCCAGAGCCCCTCCAGTAGTCTTGCGAGGGTAAAGAGCTGGTCCACTGTTCCACGGCCAGGACAGAATACGCACTGCTCCTCTTGAATCCGAGGTTCGACAAATGGTCGGAGCATCCTTTCCAGCACCCTGGCATAATCCTTCCCCGGGAGGCTGAGTAGTGTGATACCCCGGTAATTCGAGCACACTCTCCGGTCCCCCTCTTTGAAGATAGGAACCACCACCCCGGTCTGCCAGTCCATGGGCACTGATCCCGACCCCCATGTGACATTGAAGAGGCGTGTCAGCCAAGACAGCCCAACCGTGTCCAGCGCCTTCAGTATCTCAGGGCGGATCTCATCCACCCCCGGCGCCTTGCCACCAAGGAGCTTTTTAACTACCTTAGCGGCCTCCGCCAAGGATATGGGTGAGCCTCCCCCCAGGTCTTCAGGCGCTGCCTCCTCTGCAGAGGGACATGTTGGTCGGGTTTAGGAGTACCTCAAAGTGCTCTTTCCACCGCTCGACGATGTCCCCCGTCCGGGTCAGTAGTTCTGCCTGGGGTAGGCCCTGCTTTCCCTTCCTGAGCCGTCGGATGGTTTGCCAGAACCTCCTTGAGGCCAACCGAAAGTCCTTCTCCATGGCCTCCCCGAACTCCTCCCATGCCCGAGTTTTAGCATCCGCGATCACCGCAGCTGCAGCCCTTCTGGCCTGCCGGTACCTCTCAGCTGCTTCAGGAGACCCCTGGGCCAACCAGGCCTTAAAGGTCTCCTTCAGCTTGACAGCTTCCCTCACCTCCGGTGTCCACCACCGGGTTCTCGGGTTGCCACCACGACAGGCACTGATGACATTCCTCTATTGTGGACGCCCACAATAGAGGCTTTGAACATGGTCCATTCGGATTCCATGTCCCCAACCGCCATTCGGGATGTGTGAGAAGTTCTTCCGGAGGTGGCAGTTAAAGACCTCCCGGACAGAGTCCTCCGCCAGACGTTCCCAGTTCACCCTCACTATAGGTTTGGGCTTGCCAGGTCTTTCTAACCGATTCCCCCGCCATCTGATCCAACTCACCACTAGGTGGTGATAAGTTGACAGCTCTGCTCCTCTCTTCACCCCAGTGTCCAAGACATACGGTTGCAGATCAGATGATACGATTACAAAGTCGATCATTGATCTCCGGCCTAAGGTGTTCTGGTACCAGGTACACTTATGAGCCCACCTTATGTTCGAACATGGTGTTCGTTATGGCCAAACCGTGGCTAGCACAGACGTCCAATAACGAGACACCACTCAGGTTCAGATCGGGCAAGCCATTCCTCCCAATCACCCCCCGCCAGGTTTCTCCGTCATTGCCCACGTGAGCGTTGAAGTCCCCCAGGAGAACTATGGAGTCGGCAGGCGGCGCCCTTTCCAGGACCCCTCCCACCGACTCCAAGTAGGCAGGATACTCCGAACTGCTGTTTGGTGGTGCATAAGCACAAACCACAGTCAGACCCTTGCTCCCCGCAACCCGTAGGTGCATGGAGGCGACCCTCTCGTTCTTCGGGGAGAACTCCAACACAGCGGCGCTCAGCCGGGGGCTCGTGAGTATCCCCACTCCCGCCCGGCGCCTCTCACCTTGGGCAACTCCGGAAAAGGACAAAGTCCAACCCCGGAGCTTGGTTCCAGAGCCAGTGCTGTGTGTGGAGGTGAGTCCAACTATATCTAGCTGGTATCGCTCCACCTCCTGCACCAGCTCCTTCCCCACTATCGAGGTGACGTTCCACGTCCCTAGAGCTAGTCTATGCTGCCAGCGATCGGCTCGCCCAGGCCTCCGGCCTGACCCGCCGTCCGGTCTGCATTGCACCTGACCCCGATGCTTGTCCCTGTGGGTGGTGGGTCCACAGGGTGGCTGCTCCATATTGTTTCTTCGGGCTGAGCCCAACCGGGACCCATGGGCGAAGGCCCGGCCACCAGACGCTCGCCGACGAGCTCCCCTCCTGGGTCTGGCTCCGGGAGGGTGCCCCGGTTTCCCTGGTCCGGGCGAGGTGGCTGAAGACCGTGGGCTGCATATCATCAGGGTCATTTTGAACCGCTCTTAATCTGGGCTCTCCCCTGAAACCTGTTCGCCTTGGGAGACCCTACCAGGGGCTACTGCCCCGGACAACATAGCTCCCAGGATCACTGAGCCACTCAAACTCCTCCACCACTTTCTTCATTTCTTCATATCTGATATTTCCCTCAATAACTTTTATTATGGATACAATTAAAGTCAGAGAGAGCTTTTTACATCATTTATCATCATTTCATTCAGTCACGTGAGGCTGATCTGAGTGTTTGGTTTGATGAGTTATATAATTTAAGATAAACAATCATATTCTGGGTTAATTAATTAATAATGACGTCACAGTCACCATTTCAAAACATACAGACGCAATTAAGTCAAACGCATTCCGCCGGTAGAAATCAATCCTGAGCTCATAAACAGAACACGGTTTGTTAAAGAGGTAACAGACTACAGAGGGAACACACCTCTACAGTGGTGATTACTGTGTGTATTTATTAGTTGTTAGTATTAGTAGTTATTATTATTAAGTACAGTTATCATTTGAACAGACACAAACTTCTCAAAAGTCTCCAGCTGTTAAAGCCGACTGACAGCTGATCCAGCTGTCGCTGACGTTGCTTCACGTGATGCAACTGAGGAAAAGATGTCTCATATCTCTTTAAAAATATTTCCTTGTTTCCTCTCTCCTTGGGAAAGGACCCAAGTGAGGGAAACAGGGATGCAATTAAGAGACTGGGATGTATTCACAGTTAGGGTGTGACCAGAACAGATTCCAACACAACTACTGTACACCTGCTTTAGACCTGAACATGTAAGTCTTCTGTTTGGTTGGATAAATGGTTGAGATTCCAGTCTGTAACATACAAACATGTTTCTATGTCAAATTTATTTTCAGCCTATACATGCATTCATCATACCAGTCTCCATTTAAAGCAACAGACTCACTTTGAACACTTTCAGAACATTTGAGAAAAACATCTTAAATATTGAATTCTCTGACAATGATTTCTCAACTATCACATTTAAAGCTAGGGTTGGTATTCTTGAGAAACTATGAAGAGTTTAAGATTTTAAAGTGATCCAACCTAAAAACTCTATTCCAATGATTGGAGCTAGCAGCACTAAATCTAGAAAGAAAGAGTCAAAGTCTTCAACACTGACAGTCCGTCCCTTCACTACATTCATGTACCACAAATTACATATTACGCTCCTGCATCAGCCAGATACTGTGGTTTTTCCCTTTTTTGTCAGAGCATTTGATTTATTGATGTAATGATAATTTCTACAAACATATCTAAAATGTTGTTGAAGAACATCACCAACCCTGCCTTTAATGACCTCCAATGACTGCATGCTTCTGTAAGTTCTTTTGAAAAGTGACATTTATATAAAACTCACTTACTTGATTCGGTGTATTAATCTTATGTTGGGCGTGGCACATATCTAGACTGAACTCAGTAAAGCAATACAAAAATACAAAACAGAAGAAGGAAGAATACTGCTCTGCTTGTGACACTTAAATACATATTAAATACACAGTACATAATAAATAGGCAACCAAACTCTTCTGATGTTCATAACACTTTATTTCCAAAAATAAATATTCCCTTATAATGACAGAGATCTCCCAACATGTTGCAGATTTATTATCACTTATTCGGTATCACTTGTCAAACTAAATCAGAGCGTTTATCAGAGCTCGTTCACAGTCACATTCAGGTGGAAACTGCCCATGTTTATTTTGTGCCGTTGATTTAGTATTTAAATATGGACATTTCCAACACAGTTGAAGCCAGAAGTAAGGCTTTAACATTGCATATATAGTGGACAGTCAATCACAGAAAAGAACATGTATATCCTATTTACTCCTATAAAGTTATTATTATTACAACATCTGGTCATTTCTTGTTTCAAACACAGTGAACACAGCACATCAGCAACAGCTGCTTCAGTGTACACAGGATGTCTTCAGCCAGCAGACAACTGCATGGACAGATAGCACCAGCAGCACAATACTAAATCTAGAAAGGTGGAACATAGATTTGACTTGCACGAGGCTGACCCTAAAAAAGGAGTAAATGCTTCCTGTGTAGACAGAGTTGAAGAGGTGGTTAGGGCTCTGACAGAATTACACAACCTACTGGGCTAATTCTGTACTTTTGCAGACAATGTAATTGTTTGAATACAAAACATCTGGAGTGTACTACAGGAACTATAAGGAGACATTTGACTTATACACAACCACTCATACTAAGAGCACACAGCAGCAGCCTACAAGTCCTTTTCTATGGAAGCTGCTGACATGAAGCTACTGACCCGTGAAACTACTAACCCATGCTTGTTGCTGTGTGATGTCTCCAATGGCACTGTAAAGAGTCAACCAATCATATGCTTTTGTTTCACCCTGTTCCGTTCCATCTCAATGGTGCTTTTGTCGCTGTGGTGTGAACATAGTGTTAGTGTTGGTAAAAAAGAGACACATAATGACTCAAATTCATTCTAAACTTTCATTTGAATTAATAATGGGGACCTTCTCATTTCTTTGCAGTGTCATATGCTGATCGCTGCCCAGTACTCGTACTGAGTGTGTGTGTGTGTGTGTGTCAGGTGAGGATCCAGATGACAGTGAGCAGAGCCATGATGCCATTAAGGACAGCAACACCATAGCCCATGTGGAAACCATGGTCAGATACATCTCTAGAAGAAAACACACACACATTCACACAGTTTTAACATGTTGAAGTCTCTGCCTGAGGTCAAAGACTGTGTTGAACCACATTGACTGGATCATGTGTCATATTTACTATATATATTTACTACTATATATATATAAATTCATGTAGTGCAGTGTGTTACCTCCAGTGGACCAGTGGTGATCCCAACACCACGGCAGGCTGATACAAGTCCAGGTAGGTCAGGGTCCATGAGAAGACACAGCAGATACATCCTACTGATACTGACAGCACCAGGATACTCCAGAAACCTACACGCACACGCACACGCACATCTCTATCCAGGCTTAAAGAGAGCTCCAGTCCTGCCACTCATAGAGGCCAGCCCCTGTGCTGCTAGCATATATATATATATATATATATATATATATATATATATAGATATAGATATATAGATGCTATATATAATTGATTAAACACTGAAGTCCTTTCTAAGTGTAGGCTCCAGCTTTGTTGTGGACTGTTGGACTATTTTCTGTTCTAAATGAACACATATTGATACTCACCCAACACCCTCTCTTCAGTCCAATCAGCTGCTGTCACTTTCTCTGCCCTCAGTTCTGAAACAGTCAGTACATTACATTACAGTCATTTAGCAGACGCTTTTACCAAAGCGACTTACAATTTAGAGTCCATCACATTTCTACACCATAGGCACAACTACGGGAGCAATTTTTGGGGTTAAGTGTCTTGCTCAAGGACACATCAATATGAGACTAGCAGAGCCGGGGATTGAACCGCCGAACCTCTGATTGAAAGACGGCCCTGCTATCCACTTAGCCACAGTCACCCACCAGTAGGAATCAGTACCGCTGCTGTAGCAATACTACTGCTACTGTAGCACTGCTTACTGTATATGTACCCTAACTCTGTTTTCTACATATTCAGCAATGGTTATCATCCCTAAATCATATCATAACACAGCTGATTGATTGATTGATTTTGGTCATCTCGAGTGCGAAATGAAACCTTTTAGAACTACAGTTTTCTGCATCATTGATTTGAAAACTTCTCAAAATGTCCAGGAAGTGTCCACATGTTTACTTTTAGCTAACACCCCCCTAATGAGGCACACGTGCACGCGCGCCCGCCCGCTCACCTTTGAGTATGGGGTATATGAGGGCGCAGACACAGCCCACAGCGGCCACCGTTACGGCGGAGCCAAGCACCGACAGCACGACCACGGACCACGGTTTGGGGCCGTTGGTGAACGGCCGTCCCGGTCCACCAAGTCCCTGTCCTGGCATGGTCTCACAGAATGAGATCCGGAATCTGAAGGTCCCGGTATGACGCACTCTCCTATTAAAGTAGGTTACTGGTAACTTTCCTTTAATGGGACAACGTGTGTACTAACAGACGCACTTCCGCACACAACTTTGTCCCTCAGGCTTTTCCGTCAGTTTAGTTTCTCTGTTTTCCCCTGTAAGCAGCCTGTGGGTACTTCTTAAGTCTCTTAATTGTCGTTTCCTCGATCCTCGCTTCAACCGGAAGTTGTTTTTGTGCCGCCATATTGACAGCCGTCCCAAAGCTCTAATGTAGCTCGGAGGAGTGAGGATCGAGGAGGGACCTCGGAGGAGCCATGAGCGAGGAACCACGAGAACAGACTTCCAGGAAGTGTTTTAACGGCCGACACGCCCCCTCATTGTTCATCAGTTATGTGATTGGACGCTGCAGCCGATCGGACTGACTGACTGAGTTTAACACCAGAGTGAAGACAGATCACAGAATAAACTCTAGTTTATATTTGATTAGGTTTCTGATTCACCATCTGGTTTAAATAAATGTTCATTGTAGTCTGAACAACAAAGCGACCACAAACAACTTTCTTCATTTATTAGAAAGATTTGTGTTTTCATAATCTGATATTTCCCTCAATAACTTTTATTATGAATACAATTAAAGTCAGAGAGAGAGCTGGAGAGACGAAACACTTTTTACATCATTCCTGAGTGTTTGATGAGTTTTATCATTTAAGAGAAACAATAATCATATTCTGGGTTATTTAATAATGACGCCACAGTCACAATTTCAAAACGTACAGACGCAAATAATTCATAAATAAGACGATCGCATTCCGCCGGTGGAAATCGATCCTGTGCTTATAAACAGGACACAGTTTGTTGACTACAGGGATAAAACACCTCTACAGTGATGATTACTGTGTATCTTCATTAGTTATTAGTATTAGTTCCTATTATTAAGTACAGTGATCATGAGAACAGACACAAACTTATCAAAAGTCTCTCCAGCTGTTAAAGCCGACTGACAGCTGATCCAGCTGTGAGCAGCTGATCCTCCGTCATCAGAAACAGACGTCGCTTCACGTGACGCACCTGAGGAAAGGACGTCTCATGTATCTTAAAACATAATTCCTCGTTCCTCTCTCCTCGCATGGTTTCCTCCATGCATCCCTGGTGGGAGGGACTAAGACGCAAGGAAAGGATGCAAGTGAGGGAAACGGGGATGACATTAAGAGACTTGAGAAGTACCCTGTGTGTGAGACACATATGACGACAGGCGGGTACCGGGAGTCCTCCCCATAGAGTCTGTATTACAGGGATATCTTTAGCAGGATATTTGTTGTAAGTTTCCTTTAACTTCAAACAAGAGCAAGGCCGATAGAACCAGCTGTCAGAGGACTCGTGCAGGGATGACGTATTGTTGTAAGCCAACCCCGGAAGTTTGCCGCACCACTGGTTCCCTCCACATCCAATGAGATTTTCCATTGCATTTTGGAATATTACAGAAAATAAGCTCTGTGGCAAACAAAAAACGTTGCCATACTTACAAGTTTTGTTCAGCAAGATAATCTTCACAAATGCACACAACCTTTATGATTTATGAAGCATGAATGCAATGAGTAGCGATGGTGAGATGAAGCTTCTTTGGAGCATCAAATCTTTCCTGAGGCTTCATGTGAAACAGGCAGACCTTTTCTAGATGATCTCCATGTCATTTGTGATATAGGCTGCTGTATTTTCATCAGCTGACTAATTGTCTTGTGAGTAATGCATACAATTAATTTAAATCAAACCTTTGGTCAATAGTTGTGTCATAATGTGATAGTGGCAGGAGGGACAATATTAATGTTCTTAAACTATGTAGTGGCACAATTATCTGCAGAATGAGCAAGAGAGAACTGAACCACTCTTAGGAGAACGGTGATGTCACCTTACCCATCGTCACTGGGTTCTGCTGTTATATTTATTGCCTCATAAGACCACGAGGAGGCGCGTGCACTATCACTTTTATTTTGTTAGGAACAGTACAAACAATACAAGTCACAAGATACTTCGTTATTGCCAAGCAACAGTGTAGCTCCAAACGAAAGAAGAAGAGACACCATAAATAATATCAACATCACACACAAAAAGGAAACACATGAATGTTAAAATATGTATAGCATAAACAGAAGTGCATGCGTTTATTTTGAAAATAATCCACCGGAAAAGGTGTTGACGCAGATTGTTGTCAACAGCACCGATCGAGTCTCCGGTGCAGTCAGACGCCACACAGCCTGTCGGGTGAAAACAAAGCTTTACAGTCACGGTAACGTTGAGCCAACATTCACTGTGTATAAATGTGCTTCTGTTAAATAGCCTTAAATATCCACAATGAAGTGGAAGAGCAATGCTCGCGCGAGGCTTTCGTGGTGGCTCATTGTTGTACAGCTCGTGCTAACGTGAATTTGGTAAACAGAATGATGTGGGTCCAGTCTGTCTCTGACACCGCGTAGAAGTTAGTGTTGAATGTGTATCGTTATCTAGACAGACTGCGACACTAACCGTAGCAGCCTGCTAACGTAGTATGCTAATGTGTTACATCCGGAACATCTGCAGCAAACGTTGCTTAGTTAGCCCGTTGCGCTTTAAAGCAATATCAGGATGATCGAAACCTTCTTCTGGACCTGACTTTATGGGTAAAGGTAAAATAAATCAGTCACGTGACTGCTCACCTGTTGCTTGTTATCAGCAGCCATATCAGGAGCGAACGTGAGCTTGTTAGCTCGTCTGCACGCAGAGAGCCAACACTTCAATACAGTATTTGTATTGGTCGTTTTAATATACAGACAAGAACAGACAAAATGGTGTCAGAAGAGAATATTAGGGGAGATCTCACCTCCAGAGACAACGTTATGGTTTTACTTCCCTTTGTAGCACAGCATCAGAACCACTTAGACACACACATACAGACTAGTGCACCAATATAAAGAGAAACCAGCAAATCCACCCAGCATTGTAGCGTAGCTGTGAAGCCCTAACCCATGTAGCATAGGAAAATTATTTTGTACATATATAACTACTCCTCCCTGTGTATATTTCCGTCCATCCTGAAAACGCTGTAACCATCAATAGATACCTCTGCATTCTTTATGGTAACATGGAAGTGAAGATGTGGATGGTGTTATTCTGAGTGAGCTAGTTAGTTCATGTACCTTATTAGTGATACTGCCCTTTGAAGATGCTGACATTGTGAAGTTCATGTGAAATCATAGAAAACAATAGAGAATGAGACCGTTTGTTAGTCAGTGTGCTGATCAGCAGTAGAGATGAGACGATGGTCATTTATTCATCTGAACTGTCCAGTTCATTAATGTCCCAGAACTTTTACAACCTCTAGTTTTTAACCAGATTCAACTTAATGAATAATTTACAACTGCGGTCCAAGTCTCCAGGATCTTTTTATTTTCTTACTATGCGTGTTTGCCTGACGTTGTCCATATTCTTCTTGGTTCTTGTTCATTGATGGACATGTCAGCCCCCTTTAGGCTGTGTTGATACTCGCGCTTGGCACCGTAGTGTTCACTGATACTCTGCATTGACATTCGGGGACTTGTTACTTGAAAAGGAACAGCAGCAGTAAAACTTTATTACACTGTAAAAAAAATAAAATACTCAATTGATCTGCGGTTCACAAGTGATCCGAACCGGGAGGGGTGATCCGAACGGAACACGGATCGAAAAGAACACTGTACCTACTGTGAAACATGGAGGAGGCTCGGTTATGTTCTGGGGCTGCTTTGCTGCATCTGGCACAGGGTGTCTTGAATCTGTGCAGGGTACAATGAAATCTCAAAACTATCACGGCATTCTGGAGTGAAATGTGCTGCCCAGTGTCAGAAAGCTTTTGTCTCAGTCGCAGGTCACGGGTCCTCCAACAGGACCCAAAACACAGCTAAAAACACCCAAGAATGGTTAAGAGCAAAACATTGGACTATTCTGAAGTGGCCTTCTATGAGCCCTGATCTAAATCCTATTGAACATCTGTGGAAGGAGCTGAAACATGCAGTCTGGAGAAGGCACCCTTCAAACCTGAGACAGCTGCAGCAGTTTGCTCACGAGGAGTGGGCCAAAATACCTGTTGACAGGTGCAGAAGTCTCATTGAGAGTTACAGAAATCGCTTGATTGCAGTGATTGTCTCAAAAGGTTGTGCAACAAAATATTAAGTTAAGGGTACCATCGTTTTTGTCCAGGCCATTTTCATTAGTTTGTTTTTTAAAATTTTTCTGATGAACCACAATTCAAAAGCAATGTCTCATTTTCATTAGTTAATTTTCAGTAAATTTTTATTTATTATTACTTTTGTCAGTTTCAAGTTATTTCAGTGACCATTGTGGGTTTTTCTTTCTTTAACGGAAGGGTACCAAACATTTTGTCCACATGTGTATATATCTTTTTTCTCCATCAATTGGCATGTATGCGCACAAGCAGATACAGACGTACACCTGCACCTATGGACACCAGACCTACATCATACAATAGGCTTATTATTATTAGATTATGGTTCAACACGATATAGTAACGGTCTTCACCTGTGATTGACTGAATTTGATGATGGAACATCTGTTATTTATTTTGCTCTGTATTCAGTTGTTCTTTTTCTCTTTGCTTCATTACATTTTTGTAGTGTATCAAAAACAGTAACAAGTTGCTAGCATGCGTGTCATTTTGTGTTGTTGTGGTTATATACATTTAGTTCGTGGTGCTGTTAAATGTATTGGTGTAACGGACCGTTGTCAGTCCATGACCCGTCAGGATCCCCTGCACGGTTCAGGATTGATTATTTGACACCATGATAGTTAAGCTGAGTAAAGGTTTACTGACATACGGAGATATTCAGTCAAAATATGCGATCAAAATAATGCGACATTGCGAATAACAAATCTATGTTGGGGTTGACAGAAGGAGAGCTAATAATGTTGGCAGCACTGCTAACATACAGAGGTTCCATTCAGTCACATTATGATGCGTTCAGTGAAAATGAGTATCGGGCAAACATTCAATTTTGATGTTTCATTATGTGTTTGAATGTAATTTTGTACAGTGTAGATTTTAGTGAGAACTAAATCAAGTAGTTCGAAGGAGATATTTTCACATGAATATAAAATCGATATTAGAGATGAATTATGAGCTGTTTAATTTCCTAACATGAGCTCTAAGCACATTATTATTATACATCATGAAAACTAATCATGACGAGACGTTTTTAAATCAATAAAATACAATCTTTCATTTATTACACTGATATCAGGGATGGTGGTGAACACCAGCTGCACGACAACAACACCATCTGTTTTGACCAACACATGAAAATGTGGTTTTTGAAGGGCTTACTAATGGATTGAAGCAGAATATTTCGTTAGAAAAAACATGTCATTTAGGGATGGGCAGTATCACAGTTTTTTGTGGAAATGGTATTACAGTGGGTACGGAAAGTATTCAGACCGCTTTAAATTTTTCACTCTTTGTTTCATTGCAGCCATTTGCTAAAATCAAAAAAGTTCATTTTATTTCTCATTAATAAAATGAGAAATAAACCCAGCACCCCATCTTGACAGAAAAAAACAAATGTAGAAATTTTTGCAAATTTATTAAAAAAAGAAAAACTGAAATATCACATGGTCATAAGTATTCAGACCCTTTGCTGTGACACTCATATTTAACTCACATGCTGTCCATTTCTTCTGATCCTCCTTGAGATGGTTCTACTCCTTCATTGGAGTCCAGCTGTGTTTAATTAAACTGATTGGACTTGATTAGGAAAGGCACACACCTGTCTATATAAGACCTTACAGCTCACAGTGCATGTCAGAGCAAATGAGAATCATGAGGTCGAAGGAACTGCCCAAGGAGCTCAAAGACAGAATTGTGGCAAGGCACAGATCTGGCCAAGGTTACAAAAGAATTTCTGCAGCACTCAAGGTTCCTAAGAGCACAGTGGCCTCCATAATCCTTAAATGGAAGAAGTTTGGGACGACCAGAACTCTTCCTAGACCTAACCGTCCAGCCAAACTGAGCAATCGTGGAAGAAGAGCCTTGGTGAGAGAGGTAAAGAAGAACCCAAAGATCACTGTGGCTGAGCTCCAGAGATGCAGTAGGGAGATGGGAGACAGTTCCACAAAGTCAACTATCACTGCAGCCCTCCACCAGTCGGGGCTTTATGGCAGAGTGGCCCGACGGAAGCCTCTCCTCAGTGCAAGACATATGAAAGCCCGCATAGAGTTTGCCAAAAAACACATGAAGGACTCCCAGACTATGAGAAATAAGATTCTCTGGTCTGATGAGACCAAGATTGAACTTTTTGGCATTAATTCTAAGCGGTATGTGTGGAGAAAACCAGGCACTGCTCATCACCTGCCCAATACAATCCCAACAGTGAAACATGGTGGTGGCAGCATCATGCTATGGGGGTGTTTTTCAGCTGCAGGGACAGGACGACTGGTTGCAATTGAAGGAAAGATGAATGCGGCCAAGTACAGAGATATCCTGGAAGAAAACCTCTTCCAGAGTGCTCTGGACCTCAGACTGGGCCGAAGGTTCACCTTCCAACAAGACAATGACCCTAAGCACACAGCTAAAATAACAAAGGAGTGGCTTCGGAACAACTCTGTGACCATTCTTGACTGGCCCAGCCGGAGCCCTGACCTAAACCCAATTGAGCATCTCTGGAGAGACCTGAAAATGGCTGTCCACCAACGTTCACCATCCAACCTGAGGGAACTGGAGAGGATCTGCAAGGAAGAATGGCAGAGGATCCCCAAATCCAGGTGTGAAAAACTTGTTGCATCATTCCCAAGAAGACTCATGGCTGTACTAGCTCAAAAGGGTGCTTCTACTCAATACTGAGCAAAGGGTCTGAATACTTATGACCATGTGATATTTCAGTTTTTCTTTTTTAATAAATTTGCAAAAATTTCTACATTTCTGTTTTTTTCTGTCAAGAAGCTGAGTGTACATTAATGAGAAATAAAATGAACTTTTTTGATTTTAGCAAATGGCTGCAATGAAACAGAGTGAAAAATTTAAAGGGGTCTGAATACTTTCCGTAACCACTGTATATCTACATATTTTCAACATTAACCAGACCGTTATTTCATCTTTGGTGCAATCAGGTGATGGGGAAAGGAGGGATGAAGAATGGCCAAGGTGTGGTTTGGGGATTGGAAATGTGGCTAGAGAGGACTAGACTGTGACATCACAGCTGTTAAAGGCTAGTAAAAGGACCTGGAGTTGGATGTTTTTAAATCAAAGTAATCAACAATAATTCTTAATGATCTATTTATTGTTTAACGTCATTTATCAAGTAATAATGGCAAAGTCTCTTGGAACAAGTGAGGCATTCCACTAATGCGGACGTTAATAGTGTTTAATTCTAAATGGACAGCATAGTCTCAGTGTGGATCCTCAGTCACATGACAACAGGTTGTTTATTCAACCACTCGTTATCACATGACCAAAGTAACTGATGAAAATGTGGATGACATGTTGCTTTTCTGATTATTTCTTTATATTTAACACATGATTTCAGCCTTCTGACTGATGATGAAAAAGAAGTCCTCCGTACCCCTTAGTATCTGGTCTGGTCCAACAGAGATGATTGGAAATGAAATGTGCTGCTGGTTCTGGTTTCACTTTTGATCATGAGCTCATCATCATACAGATGATGTCACAGTCAGCTGGTGTCCTTTGTGCTCTGACCAATACTGGCTATACTGAGGGACCCGTTACTGTCCACATCATCCAAAATCTGAAACCAACACCC